TATCTTGTGGAGAAATATGTAAAAAAGATCATTACTGATTTTGAGGAGAAGGCTTTAATTCTGTGGGGAACTGTTGTTGTGATTGCATTGTTTAAAAAATACAAAAACTAGATTTGGTGTGCTTGTAGGGTTTATGCTAAGGGAGCTCTGTTACTTTTACATGTCATTTGTTAAATGTTTTCTTCCTTATCCTCATTTAATTGAGTGCACTTTCTTGAGTGGGGGTGGAGGGAAGGTGAGCCCAGTTCAGCAAGTGGAGATGACATTTGGCCTCTCCTTTATCCTCCTTGCAAAACTATAAATTTGTTGATGTGGAACTCTAGTTCAATAGAATATATACTTTAATGATTTTGTCAAAAGTCCTTCAAGATAGATATTGAACTATCCACCAGCAGTGTTTTCGAAACTATTTATTTACCTGCATCTTTGTTAATTGGATAGACAAAGAAATTGAAGTCATATGATGTATTTCATTCATTGATTATATATATATTTTAGTGTTCTCTATATATGTGTATGTAACACACATACATATACATATAATACATTTTTGCTTTTAAAAATAATTGCCAATTCATGCCTTTTATCTATATTTCTATTAAAATTTTATAAGAGCTCATTTATTATATACTGGATATTAATATAATGCTATATAATGAAACATTTTCCCCAGTTGTTTGCCCTTTAGCTTTGTGTATGATGTCTGTGTATTTTTTTATACAGAAATATATCTATGAATCTTTTTTGTCTTTTATACATACATGTAAAAAACTTCATTTTTATAATCATAATTTTTTTATATTTACATTTTTAATTTATCTGGAATTCATTTTGATGCGTAGTGTGGGGTAGGAATCTAACCTTGAATTTTTTTTTTGAAAATGGTGTTGTGTGTAATCTAACACTGATGAGGTGTCCATCCTCTCTCCACTGCTTTGAAGTAAACTTTCTTCTTTATATGCAAAATTATTATACATACATGCTTGCATGTGTTTCTGGATTTTGTGCTCAGTATTGCCTTAGGTTGAGGTTGTGGGAAGTGGACTTTGAGATGGAGATTTACATGCAGGAAGTAGTTGAGGGAGTGTCCTTAGGGTCAACACCTGAAGGGGGATGAATGAGGCAGGAGGAAGAGGAGAGCTTTGATGCAGTCACTGTGAAAGCCTCATCCAGTCCCTGGGCAGCTCTGGATCTGGGATGGCCTTGCAGAGTTGTCCTACCTTGAGAGAAGGGCCCCTGACCTTGATATCTTTCCCTATTGACTAGTCAGTCATTGGATGCAGATTGCCCTTGGGTAGGGGTTGTCACCTTGAGTGAATTTACTTTCTTCAGCCACAGGCAGTTCCCTGGAAGGGATGCAGCTTTCAGCTCTCACTTACCAGTCTTCCAACCAGCTGGAGGAATGAGTGCCTCACCCCAGAAGAGGGAATCTGGGGTGGCTTATCAGCACCTGTACCATGGTTACATTGATCTGTCTAGCCATTCTTGTGCCAGTGTCACACTATTTTAATTATTGAAAGTGGTAAGACTTAATATCTGTTAAAACATTCCCTTTAGTTTTCTCGATACATTTTAGACACTAGGAATTTTGAATAGAATTATTTTATGTTTATGAATTAATTTGAGGGAGAATGCATATTATTCAATTCAGTCTATTTCAGTAGACCCAGTATCTTTTACTTGTGCAAATCCTCTTTTGTGTCTCTTAGTAGAGTTGTATAGTTTTTGAAAATCATAAATTTGGCGCTTTTTTTGGCCCATATTTTGTCCTTAACCATGGATGAACAATTGAAAACTGACGAGTGAAGAATCTGCCTAGGAGATTCTGAGCCTCATTTTACTACATTTAAAGGGAGCCAAGTGGATGGTATAGAAAGGGAAAATATGATAATTGTCAGAATATCTCAAAAGTATTCTAGTAATGAAAATTGTTTAGTATATTTTCTTAAGATGCCTCCATATTTTTTTTTTTTTTTTAAAAAAAGGTAATTTTGGCCAGCTGGTACCGGATTTATACCAAAATAATGGACTTGATTGGTATTCAGACCAAGATATGTTGGACGGTTACCAGAGGAGAAGGACTCAGTCCTATTGAAAGCTGTGAAGGTAAGTTTCTTTCTGTGATATTGTCCAGTTATCTGTTGTAACATAATAAACTTATCCAGCATAATAAGCTTACACTGTAAACTTAGTGGTGTAAACAACACCCATTTTATTATGCATATGGATTCTGCAGGTCCAGAATTTGGGCAGGGCTGGTTTATCTCCGTGATTTCAGGGACCTCTGCTAGTAAGACGCAAATGTCTGGGAAGACTGGAATTAACTGAGAGGCTGCATTGCTCACATTTTGACTCCTGGGCGTGGAGGACTGTGAGGCTGAGCTCAGCTGGAACTGTCAGCTGGGACACCTACCTGTGGCCTTTCTGGGTGACTTGGGCTTTTTGATAGCAAAGTACCTCAGAGTTGTAGTAAGGCTTTTCCTATGGCAGCTGAAGGCTCCAAGCTGGACACTGCATGGCCTCTTATGACCTAGCCTCAGAAGTCACATAGTGTTGTTCTGCCGTACTCCATTGAAAGAGTCACAAGACCAATGAAACTCAAAAATGGGGGCTATAGACCCCATACCTCCTGAGGAGGCATATCTGTGAATTTGCAGCCCTGTTTTAAAATCACTATTGCTCATTACCCTGATCGCATTTATGTTCTGCAGTAGTGTTATGTTTTCATGTGGGAACCAGAGCAACTATTTAATATATCTGGCCACCATTTTCAAAATGAACACAATTTAATATAAATTGCTAGACACATAAGGTAATTTGGGTTAATGTGGTTAGAACATATGTTTTGTTTATTTTTAAAGGATTGGGAGATCCTGCTTGCTTTTATGTTGCTGTAATTTTTATTTTAAATGGACTAATGATGGCATTATTCTTCATATATGGCACATATTTAAGGTAAGATAATATTTTACTATGTGTTTATAAGATATACTAAAATAAAATAGTTGATTACTTCATAGTTAATCATTGATTAATTTATAGTTCAGTTTTATGAAAATATCCTAAAATATCGTATTATCATAAAATCATTCATTATTTGCATGATTTCACCACTGCCATGGCCCATCACACTTAAGATAGTTTTAGAGGTGTAAATAGAGTTGGGAATACTTGATAAATTTAATTATTTTTTTTTTTGAGACAGGGTCTCACTCTGTCACCCAGGCTGGAGTGCAGTAGTGTGATCTGTGCTCACTACAACCTCTGCCTTCTGGGTTCAAGCGATCCTCCCACTTCAGCCTCCTGAGTAGCTGAGACTGTAGGTGCACACCACCAAACTCCGCTAATTTTTTGTATTTTTTGTAGAGACAGGGTTTCACTATGTTGCCCAGACTAGTCTCAACTTCCTGAGTTTGAGTGATCTGCACATCTCAGCCTCCCAAAGTACTGAGATTACAGGCATGAGCCACAGTGCCTAAATTTTAAATATTCATAGGCATTTGGGTATAAACAATATATATTCCATATATGGTTATAGAATATCTAATATATTATTATGGAACAATATATTCCATTTGCTGTATGTATGTGTATATGTGTGTGTGCTGAGATATGTGAAGTCTGACTTCTTACTATAGTTTTGGTGTAAAAAAAAGTCCGTAGACTACTGCTTAAGGTAGCATGAGGGAGCAGCGTTTACCTTAGAGCATTTGGGTCTT